AAAGAACCATAAATGCTATAGGTCAGTACCCACTTTCCGTTGAGAAGACTAGTCCTCCTGCTAATCTAAATGAAAGGCTATCAAATTTCAAGTAAATCGGACCAAAAATACGATTTTTAAAATTCATTCCATGATCCATTTTCGTGATATGCGGATCTTTATAAACGAACGTAAGATTTTCATGTATAAAAAAAAAAATTATAAAGAATTTCTTCCAGCTGCTTTCCAAATAATTTTTATTAAGTTACACCGACGCCTCACAAATATTCTGCAGTAAAATTTGACGGTTCGGCGACCTTTGAAGATTCTAAAAAAGCCAATTATATCTACAACTCTTTACTTCAAACGAGTAGACGCCACTCTTCTCGTTGCTGCCAAGGCGGCTTGTGGAGGATTAGCGAATTGCTGAATTTTACGAAATTTTTTTCTCCTTTTTAAAATGCCTAGATACCACCTACGCGGTCATAGCCGCATCCACAATGGGTCTTTGAAATATTTATTATGTGTAAAATTCAAAATGCGGCTCTCTCAATGATATTTTCAAAGAGTGGAGATCTCATCTACCTCTACTTCAGCTTTTACCGGCGAGTACTTTGTTGAAATTTATATCCATTCACCCATATGGAAGACTTAATATTTTATTGAAGATTTCGCAATGGGAGACACAGTCGCATGCTTCACTTATTCTAAAAAATTCCTACGCCTCTGTGTATTGACCAATCAATGGCGATTTAATAAATCTTATTTCTTGCCAGCACGACAGGTTCGAAGCCCAAAGAGAATTTCCTTAAATTTGCTTATTCCCAAAATCTTATCCTGCCGCTGTGACTAATGTGTAAATCACCTTATTTTCTAATTAATCAGCGATTTAAATATAGAATGTAATAAATTTATTCTTCAACACTAGGTCAAAATATATATTAACTCTGGAGATGCTAAGTCCCGATAATTTTGTTTACTTCAAATACTCATGATGCCAACGGATGCCCTTACCGCTTAAATGAGGCATGATTTTCAAAGTATTTTATTTAACACGATTATGTAAAGTGTTCAAACGTGATCATTAAAATGTGCACAAGTGTACAGATGTTTATATGCACTCGTATATTTGCGAGCAGGCTCACATGTTGATAAGAACTCTTGGAAGAAATCACAGTGCTAAATACATACACACATAGATACACACATACGTATATATTAAAACTCGCGCTTGGTACATTTCAAATTTCATTTCATAATATTTCAATATTTTATTTTCTATCACTTTCGAAGTGAATTTAATCACCGCAAAAATTCACTCAAGAATTTTTGTTTTGCACAAAGAGTACGAGTGACTGGTTAATGCACATACATACCCATATACATACATGTATGGATATGTAAAGAGTATAAAAATACAACCGGCACACGCCAACGATTCGCAGACTCTTCCTAATCTTCCATTGCCTCTAAGAGTAAAATATTGCCAACAAAATTGTATGGCTGTCGGTCATGAGGCCAATTCATGAACGCCCCCGTTCGAGTACTTTGGCCGAGTATTTTTTAATCCTTACACTCATACCCGTACACACTTATCTGCAATAAAACTGTTGTTGTTGCACTAAATCAAATAAAAACACTATTTTATTAGTTTTGTACGAATTATTGGTTCAATCATTTTTGGTTGCCAAGTCTATAAAGTGCGTTGCACAGTGTCATTGAAAAAGGCAAATAACGGATATAATGTCATTATTACCCCGATACGAGATGGTCGACAGGCGTAATGCACGAAATTTTATTTGAAAAGATGCGGCAACTTTCACAAGGTTTTAAGAATGGAGCACGCTCATGTAGTCTTGAGAAACACGATCTGGTAAACGATATTCAGAGCAAGTACAGGGTACATGGAGGGAACACTTCACCAGAAAGCTTAATTAGGGTGGCGAAGAAATGAGTTGACAAATCTATACTCCAATTCATGGTAATAGTGTGGACGTCTCATCATCCGACTGTGAAACAGAAACGACCGAAACAGCTTACATGGGGTCTTGTTATATTCGCTAGTATACAATATCTACACATCTCGAATAGGTTGGGAAATGTCTGCATAATTAAACAAAAAAAAATATGGGTTTTTAAATTGTTTATTTTTAAACTCCATTCCATTTGAAATAATGAAATTATTCAAAACTATTAGAATAGAGTTTGGATCCTTCATAAAGTATACATATTAAACGTTTGACCTTTCGGCATAAGAAAACACCTTTCCGGTATGCGATGTCTATGGCATTGAGCGAGCGAAAGAATCAATGCGATGGTTATTCCTTTGGTAAGGTTTAAAAGCGCATAATTCAAAACGGAACCAGTCAATCGTTCCTGGTACTGCCCCTGAAACCCGCTGATAAGTCATATTTTGAATTTTAAGAAGGCAGTAGTCCGCAACTGATTTACCAGAGTAAGCTATATGATTTGTTAAGAGACTCGAATCCTACCAAAAACGTCGCCACATTGCTTAGTAGACTCAAACTTTGCCTGCAGTGTTTTTCCTCTTTGTCTAGGTATCATATTTGCCCAAGAAGACGACTTGTCTTACTATAGCAATATTAAAGGTTTGATGGATTCATTTAACTCTAATACGACTTAAGACAGTGAAGTATTTTCAAAATTTTTTTAAGAGAAATCTTAAAACACATCTCCTTCACAATGGCTTCCGCACACCACAAGGAAATCTACAAGTACTTGGAACTTGGAAATTGGTTCTTTGCAAATTAAGTTATAAAGACCATGGTTGGTAAGTGGGCTTTCAAAATTCCCTTGCTCATTTGTCTATGCGATATGAGAGACAGAATAAATCATTGAAGCAAAAAAGTTTGTCCACGGAGTGAGCTTAACAATGGCGAAAATAATGTCCTCTATGAGACTTTAATGCTGCAACTATCCATTTTACTTACCATCCGTCCATAACAGCCGACTTTAAGAGCGAGATACATACACGAGTTATCGACACTACTGAGAGTGGCGAAATGTTGTCAGCTGCCAGTTTGTTTGCTGCACACTTTTGAACAAATTTATAATTATCGTTAACAAATTTCATAATTTATGTGTACGGATATAAACGCCACACAAATATATATGATCCATACGGTAATAAATAATTAATAACGAATTTAGTTCTTATTTCTTTTGAAAACAATACGCATTTTCTTAGTTTATTTAATACTAGTTTAAACAAGTCAATACTGGCAACTTTGTATAGCAACGAGAAATGAGCCGAGCCGGATTTACGGAAAAAATCAAATCGCCGTTGGTTTCTGCGGGACAACCGTCAGTAAGGGCCTGGGCAAGTGGTTATAATTTATTGCTCCACATGAAGCGAATTTCAATATCAAATTCTTACATGCAACAAAAATATCCTGGCCTCTCAGACAAAAGGTTGGAGGAAGGTGTTTCCGTTGGATCAGTCTCCGGTGGTTTGAGGATGATCCACAATTCATAACAACCATGAAGTATCCTACAGAGAATCGTTTGCTTTTAAATAATAATAAATAATAGACAAAATTGTTAGACAAACCTAAAATCCTTAACGAAGAGCAAAGTGAACGAATTCGCGCAGATCTTAGGAGGACTACTACTGTTGCTACTACTGTGGAAGTACTCACAGATGCTTCCTACAATCGAAAAGGTATAAAAAAAGAGTCCCATTGAGAAAATTAAAATTTTTAGTGCTTCATAATGAATGAATTTTAGAACAAAAATAGGAACACATGACAATCAGTGACAGAGCAAAAGTTATTTTCGACTTCAGCATACCCAAAAACATAATATTTACTATCCAAGAAAACAAAAAAAGCTCACACATATTTTTTTGCACAATGGAGTTATTCACGTGCAAGTTGCTTAGGACAATAATAAATACGAGTCTGTTGCAGTTTTTATGAGTTCGCTACACTGTGAACAACCGCTTCTTAAGTCAAATCACTTGAAATCGTATAAGCCGTGGGTTTCGTCACTTTTCATGCTCCAAAGTTCAAATATTTTCTCTACTAAAAAAGGTTTTCAAGAGGAATTCGCTATATGTGCAATTGACTATATATATTTATCTGTGTACGTGTAAGAAAATATGTGGCGACATTATTAATCTTTTGGTTTTGGTTTTGGAGTGGTTACGCGGTTATCGCATTAATCATACAAATATATATTTTAGTAGTGCGGAGTTAAAAGCATATATTTGCGACAAAAAAATTATATTATATAAAGGAAAAAATGCGATAAGAATTTTTTAGTATTTATTTTAGACATGTAAGAATGTATATACAGATGTATGTGTATCTACAATATGTACTTAAGTTGATTTGTGCAACTTTCTCAGCCTCATTTTATATCTATGAGACATTTTAGTGGACATGCCAAGTTGCGCCGGAATTAAATGGAAACTACCAGTTTATTGACATACTGAGCGTGTAAATATTTTTTAAGAGCAAATAAACTTTATACAAACAATAAATATACACACATAAAGTCAATAGTTTGGGTACTCTAAAGAGTATCATTGCTTAAGTACTCGGTGCGCCGCCCTAATCTTGAACTGCGAACTCAGAGTCCAAAACTCTAAATTTGTCATATGAGGCGATAAATGAAATGAATTTCCCTAAATACTCGCCAGACACATACATATGTATGTACACAGATATGCATGTTGGTATTTAAGTGAGGGAGGAGTAGTTAGCAAAGCAGCGGGCACTTGAATCCACTCACCGCTCAGAGCAGTGGGTAAATAAGAGAACCAAACATCCAGTTGGGGAGCACCCAATAAAGAGCGCTTAACATGCACATATGTATGTACTGCATTTATGAGTGATAAGGTGGGAGCAAAGTTAAGGCAGCATAATCGTATGATCGATCGTGTTAGCAACAAGCGCGATGTTAGCTCTGAGTAAAAATTGAGTTTGGGGACAAACGAGAACACTCGTGCTCACAAATGATAAAGCTACATGAGCTTATGTACTTTTTCATATAATATGCCCGTGCAGAGTTGCAGACCAGTCAGAAGCGTGTCGCATACGAACGTGAGAGTATTCAATTCGTTTTAAACGTGCTTAAAGAAATTTAAATAACATTTTCATATTATTCTGCCAATATTTTTGCTGATGCAGAAAAAACTGTGCTAAATTGTGCAAACTCTAAAAAGCAAGTGAAAATTTAAAGAAAAAAACCCAAAAAACACAAACTTCTAAGTGACAAAAAATAAATAAAATAAATTTTTGGAGAAATTTATTAAAAATATTAAAAAAGAAATAAAAATAAAATGGCTACAAGTGCAAATGAAAGCAAATCTCCTGTTGCCGCTACTGGAAATGGCTCAGTCGCCGGCGCCGCCTCCGCTGGTGTCGTAGCGATCGAGCAAAGCAAAGACGTACAGAATCTTTTGCCACATTTAGAATCGCTGGAGCGTATTATTAAATTGCCGGTTGTAGGCGCGGCATGGGACAAAAGTCAGGATGTCTACCAAAATGTGAAAGGTATGTATGGTTTGTTTGTTTGTTGGTGTTGGTGTTGGTGTTGGTGTAAGAAAAGTGAAATGTGCCAGTGACCTTTACGGTACCCTGGACTGGCAGTTATATTTATAAAAAAAAAGATTCGATGAAACGGTATCGTGTAACCGAAAATTTGCGGTATAGTTAAGGAAATTTGAAATAAAGGAAATGCAATTTTTTTTAACTGAGTCCTAATCGCAGTTATTATTTTCATTACATTTTTCTGTATATTTTCCTACCGTTTCTGTCGTACATATGAATGCATATGTATGTACCTGCATATATATTTACTGCAGTTTCTGCACATTTTCACACATAACTAACCCATATGAATGTTAATGGCAGCCGGCTCCCTCTTTTTTTGGTTTGCTGTCTGTCTGTCTGTATGTCTGTCTGGTTGTCTAGTTGGCTTTCGTCGCGTAGATCGTCGTCGTCCTCATCGTCATCTGGTTACCTTCATACATATTGCGATTCGCTGTGACGAGTACACACACAGCAATGCGCATATTAAGAAAGTGCGAGAGTAGTTCGCTCAAGTTAGCTACTTGAAAATGTTTACTGAGGTATATACTACATAAATATTGATATACATATATGATATTGATATATGTATGTATGTACTATGTACAATATCGATATTTCTTATAAGGAATATAATTCCATATGTATGTACAATTGTAGGTACACCAACTTAAGTGGTTACACATACAACTGTATTTGGATATATTACCCTGCAGTAAACTAAACTGTAGAATAAATAGATACAAATGTTTATAGATTTTTTCCTTAAGCTAGTCATGTGATTCCAACGAAAATATGTTTACATTCATACATACATATGTATGTACCAGAGAGGGATACTAGTGCACCGGAACCACACCGGAACACCGCATTTATGCTATACTGTTTTCGCACACGCGTTTTGAAACACTGGCAAAGCACATATGTATTTTCTTGTTTATTTTGAGCAATTAAATATTGGTCAAACCAGGTCTGGAACTCTGGCCTTTCAAATGGTAGTAAGTAATGCTGACCACTGGGGTATTCCGGCCGCTAATTCAAGACTTTCCCCATTTGGGCTTTTATGAGATCATTAGATATTTCAGCCCTCTAAAGTGATTTTTAAACATTATATACTACTTATTTTGAAAAATTTAAATTGTCATAATTAATCCAGCTTTTGTACTTTATTAACGAATCTAAGCTGCGCCTTTGGACCTTATGTCAATTTTGAAAATTTTTATAATTTTCCTGAGCTTAGAATATAGTAAATATGGTCTTACATTGTTTTATTTCATTCTATTGTAAAAAGTTTAATTTTGTATGATTTTTACTCTTTATTTACCATTTTAATTTAATCTAAATGAATTTGCTTTAATTTAACCTTCTTTTATTTAATTTAATTTTCTTTCAATTAATTTATTTAATTTAATTTCATATTTGTTCTTTAAGTCTGAAACATTATTTGTTGTAGTTGTTGTAACCGCAAATAATTTCCCAATGTGGGAGTGACAGTCCTTGGCCGAATAAAATATCCGGGTCGTGCCCGTATAAAGACCCGACTGTCGCGGGAATTATTGGATTTTAGTCGCCTCTTACGACAGGCATGCTTTACCACGTGTAAATTCTTGAACCGCAAGATCCTAACCCGCAGGGAGGAAAATAGTATTTGTAATATTTATTGCTGGGTTAAATTAATGTGTATGTATGTGCATACGTGGGATATTTTGATGGCGGTATGCTCATACTTTTTGCGCCACATTTTACTTCCATTTTTTTCTGGAACTTCTCCGTACTACTTCTTGACTGCGTTAATTGCTTGATAAAAGCCACTAGCAAAACAACAACAATCAGTAATCGCTGCTAAATTGAACTCAATTGAAGTCAATTGCAGTTTAAGCGAATAAAATTTCGCCGGTAAGTGATAAACAACAACTGTGTACACTAAAATACCTAGACACAGTAAATAAATGTATGTACATAATATACATACAAACATATTGTACATATACAAAAGTATATGTGCCCAGATATTATTGCGAAATTGAAGATATTGAAATTTAATTAAGGCAGAGGAATACATACATACATACATATGTATATATTTTAGTTCAAACCACTTTAAACTGGCAAATTCAAATTTCTGTTAACTGATCGCTTTGTGAATTTTTATACATGAAGTAAAATATTTTATATAAAAATTAAAGAAATATAAAAAGTTGAAATAATAACAAATAAAATATAATGAAAAAAAACAACAACAGAATAAAGCAGCAAAACACAAAATAAAATAAAATTGATTAAAACGAATTGAATTTAAACTCAACAGAATAAAATGGAATCAAATTAAAATAATTAACTGAATCAAATTTAACTAAATTAAATTAAGTTGAGTTAAATTAAATTAAAATAAAATCAATTAAAATATAATGAACTGCATTACAGTAAATTTAATGAAATTAAATTAACTAAGAAAATTTGTAAAAAAATAGTTGTTTTAAGCAATTAATAATCACGTAAAATATTTTAATTTAAACTATAATAGATCACTTGTTAAATAAAATAAAATAAATTACTTGTAAAATAATAAAAAAAAAACTAATACAACAAAATAAAATAAATTGATAAAATAAAATAAAATAAATAAAGTAAAAACCTTAAATTTGAAAAATCAAACAAAATTAAATAAAATCACATTATATAAAAAATTCATACAAATTTATATTATGTGGTAATATTGTCATAATGGCAACAAATATTTGTGTGTAAATAACGATAAAGGGCTCTAGCTATTACATCACGTCATCCATCATCCGATAATAATATGGCGTGTTTATTAATTATTTATTTCGTTAATCGTATAAAAAACGAAAATTATACGCGAGTTTGAGTTACAATTCACATTTTTTGTATAATTATTAGACGCTGTTTGTATTTATATTTATTTATTTATTTACATTTTTTTTATTCTTCCCTCTCTAATGACATCAAACCGGTGTCGAACAAAGTCCGAAAATGAGTAGCATACATATGTATGTATCTACGTATATAAGTGCATGTAAATACATATTTGTTACCTACATACGTATGTATGTACATATTCAAATTTACTATCAACTTTACATATGTATTGAAAATATTTATTTACAAATTTAGCATTTGCTAATAAACGCATGTTTTTCAAATACACGTATGTATTTAAATGCATGGAAGCATGAAGTATGAATGTATGTACATACATATGTTTATCAGTTTCAGCTAAAAACGTATATACAGCTTTCAAAATTTCATTTATTCTGTATTGTTAGTTACATATATCTGCTGCTCGGTATGCTGCACGTATGTATGTACATGTGTTCGCTTGTTTACGAGTAGATACCGATAAACATATTTCATTATGCTAATTTTGCACACATGCAAACTGAACTTTGGACTTTGTATTTGCTCGACTGGTTTCGCGGTTAAATATATTCTTCGCAAAAAAAAATAAAATAATATTAAAAATACACACAATGTTAGGTTCGGATCTACATACATACATATGTATAGACACATATCAATATTAAGGTGGGTCGCAAATTGGTTGCGAAATATGTCTAAATATATGTATTTGTGTTCTCAAATTTAAGTCAGATGTGAAACAGTTACTTAACGTTTCTACGCATTACGAAACTTACACAAAACTCTTTTAATTCTCAAACGTTTTAACAGTTCAACCCTAATGCATAAATATACATTTGTATATATGTATGTAGTATATGCAAATAATTGTCAAAACATGCAAAGTTATATACATACTACATACAAATTTGTATGTGTGTATTGATTATAACTGACTACGCAGCTAACAACAAATTTACTTTCTGCTTTTTCATTCGAATTTTTTTCTATTATGCTAAATTGCTATTTTTTCGCTAATTTGCGCGTGTTTTTTATACATTTGTATTAGTGCTTATTAATGTTGTTTCCATACATCCATACATATGTAGGTAGGTACAATTGTGTTTCAAAACAAAGTTATTTATTTTTCGTTTTCTTCACATTTTTATCTCGAGCATTCTTCGTTATTTACGCAGCACAAAAAAGCATACACTGGACTTTTGTAGTTTTGACTTCAAAATTTTATTTTTTATATTTACTCTGATAATTTTAACTATCCACTGACGTCAATTGAACGTTCGCTGGCATAAAAAGAAAAAAACAACTCGTCTGTTAAACTTTCAAAGTGATTCATAGAGACTGTAAAAAAATGTGGGAATGAAAGTACAAAACGTTAATTAAATACTAGATTTCGTTGTTGCTATAAGATAAGAACAAGAGTTCGATATTATCTGATAAGATTAAAATAGAAAATTAATATGATAAAAAAAAATTAAAAATTTATCAAAACGATTAAACAAAAGAATTAGGTAAGAAAAATGTATAAATAATAAAATAAATAAGTTAAATAAAAAAATAAAATAAAAATAAAAAAAAAAATAAAAAAAAAAAAAANTTATTATTATTATTATTATTATTATTATTATTATTATTATTATTATTATTATTATTATTATTATTATTATTATTATTATTATTATTATTATTATTATTATTATTATTATTATTATTATTATTATTATTATTATTATTATTATTATTATTATTATTATTATTATTATTATTATTATTATTATTATTATTATTATTATTATTATTATTATTATTATTATTATTATTATTATTATTATTATTATTATTATTATTATTATTATTATTATTATTATTATTATTATTATTATTATTATTATTATTATTATTATTATTATTATTATTATTATTATTATTATTATTATTATTATTATTATTATTATTATTATTATTATTATTATTATTATTATTATTATTATTATTATTATTATTATTATTATTATTATTATTATTATTATTATTATTATTATTATTATTATTATTATTATTATTATTATTATTATTATTATTATTATTATTATTATTATTATTATTATTATTATTATTATTATTATTATTATTATTATTATTATTATTATTATTATTATTATTATTATTATTATTATTATTATTATTATTATTATTATTATTATTATTATTATTATTATTATTATTATTATTATTATTATTATTATTATTTTTATTAATTTTGTTATAATTATTATTTACAAAATAAATAATATGGATAATTAAATGAAAATTAATGACATATTGAAAAAGCAATAGATATTGAATAAATGAAAAAATAAGGAATAAAATAAGAATAAATAAAAAATTTTAAATTTTAAAATATATAATATAATAATGTGGAAACAAAGACTATGTTAGACAATAAATAAATGAAAAATAAAAACAAAATAAATAAATAAAATTTAAGGAAATAAAAACATCATTAATTAAACAACTTAATAATAAACAAATTAATAAAAAATAAACTATATAAAAGCAAAGTAATATGAAATATAAATAAAATAAATTTTGTACTTGATAAAAATTTTTGTTTAAGGATAGAATTTTCTTTTGATGTTCAAAAAAATTTGGGAAAATCATTAGATTTTATTTAATTTTTTTTTTTTTTGATTTTGTGTTTACTGATTATATTTCACAAATTTTTATATATTTGACGCAAGCATTACTTTCTCTATAATTTTTCATAAACAATAATAAAATTATGCCATCTTTAAGCTCAAAATTATGATTGATTATGATTATATTAAATAGATCGTATCAGTGCGCAAGCCTCATAAACTGACACGTGAACTTTGTTTGGGGAAAGCCAAAAGATTAAAAGACATTATTAAACAATAGGAATTTCTTAGTTATAAATGGATTTAGTGATTTATGAACTGATTTGATTTATTAATGAAGAAAGGCAGGGAATTATCAGCGAGATTAAATCAGGTGAACTCATTGTATTTTTATTTACTCTATACCAGCCCCAGCCTGAAACAAGTACCGTTGAATTAAAAGCTATAAAAACTGTATTAACTATTATAAATTAGTTAAAAAATATATAAAACAAAAAAATTAATTATAGCCCTTTATGTCTTGTTTACTTGCACTACCAGGTCGCAATCGTGTTTTCAATTGGGCTCTCAACGCCGCCGAGGATTGCGTCTCACGCGCTGTCGTCACTGCCGCTCCGATCGTCTCCAAATTGGATCGTCCTATACAATATGTTGATCAGACACTCGTCAAGGGCATTGACAAGTTGGAAGTCTCAGCCCCTATCATCAAAGATACACCACAAGAGATTTACAATCAAGCTAAGAATAAGGTTGTTGAAGTCGTACAGCCACATATCGAACGTGTGACAAAATTCAAGACTGCCGGCCAACAAAAAGCTTCCTCATTAAAGGACTTAGCGTGGGCCAAGGCTAACGAGGTTTTGGCTACACAATATGGTAGTCTTGCGGTGTCCGGTGTTGATAACACCACAGCATTGGCGGAGCGTTTGCTGGAATATTATTTCCCAAAAGGCGAAGGCGATGTTGAGGAGGATAATGGTGAGTTATTTTTTTGATTACAAATATTTTGGGTTAATATAAATTTACATATATGCTATTGTAACTAACAACGTTTCCACGCTATATATATATTTACAAACATATATTACAATATATAATGTTATAATTAACATAAATGTCACTCATTCAATTGAAATTATGGTGAGCTAAGAGCGAAAATATTTCGAAAGTTTTTGAAAACGAGGCAACAAATAATAGGTACCTTCGAAAGCTCGAAACTTATATGCTCGGAGCTTGAAAGCTCAAAGGTTCAACAGCGACTTTACCAAGAGTTTACCTCTGTTCTTAGTCAAAAGAAAGTAGGTTAAAATTGGCCATTTAGGCAACGAAAACCTCATGGAAAACCTTTTTTAAAGAACCTTTAAACTCAAGGTCCCAAAGCTACCAAAAGCTCAACTCAATCATATTTGAGATAAACTAGTTCTAGTTTTCATACAACCTCAAAAATAATTTTAACTTTTATAATAAAGCCTATAAAGCTCATAGTGAAAGAGGAACTTACCTTCTATAAAGCTCAATACATATGCATAGATTAAGTTTTTTTTATGGACAACCTGATATAAGTCTTTTCATATAATTCACCATTTTCACAAAGTTCATTTTATAAAAAATTATTAGCATAGAAAGCCATTGCTCGAAAATTTTGGAAAATATATATTTTATAATAAATATAATAAAGAGAGTAGAAAAACGAGCTTGCCTTAAAACAGATTTAAAGCTTTTAAAAAGCTGAATTGATACATAGAAACTTATATCTGAAAGCTCATCAATTTTTAAAAAACACAAATCAAGTATTTTCGAGTTGGTCTCCCAATTTAGTCTGTTTTATTAACACTACCTATGTTTCTAAAGCTTAAAAATGAAACTTTCCTTATGAACAGAAATGTTAGGTTTGTCAATTTATTTCTTTTGTAAAATAAGTAGAGCTTTATTAACGCTTAAAGCTTAAAAATCAAAATTGTAATGAGCGAAACTACTAGGTGAAAAACTTCCTGACATTACTGTGTAGATTTTTACTTTAAAAACTTTGGTTATTTTTTCGTAAATATTTTGAAAGCTCACAAAACTTTTGATTGGGATTTATAGATTTCAATATTTAAAGCAAACGGCTTAGTAGAATCACAAAAATATTAAAACTTTTTATATAAATACAACTGTCAAATAGAAAGTTTGCTTGCGATAAAAGCTCTTTGAAGCCTCATTCAATTATTTGCTCTGGGAATTTTCTGCATTGTATTTTTCACATATTTGTCTTTAACAATATTCCTTCATCGGCTCTCTTAATTACATATTAATGTTTTACTAATTCATTACATTCGACTTCCTTATCCAAATCACCAATTTGTAGTTTTTTCTGTTTCTCTTTGCTTTTGCACACATAACCCAACGCACTAAAACTATTGCTTTTTCTTTCTTTCTTTCCTTTTCTTTTAGTTCGTATAAGTAATAATACTATTAAAAGCCGCTAAGAAAATTGCAAAAAAAAATAATAGTAATAATAATTGATAATTGCATCATTCCATCGCTTCAAACAATCAAATAATCAATCAATGTAAATATTCTAACGCTAATAACGAGCTTTGCTTACACATATATGTATGTAAATAAGTGGCTAATGCGGGTATTAAATGCCTTTGTTTTGTTGTGGCGAAAAAAAGTAAAATCGAAAACTAATTTCTCTTCTCAGATAATAAACAAATTGCTGTCGTGCAAAATGGCAAACATCTAGAAAATGACAGTAAGTTGACAAATTTTTTCCCTAATATTTTTGGCATGCAAAAAATGTTGCGTATTTTCTGAAAATGAATTTCATATGCGCAAAAATTTCATTACTTTTTTTATTAATTGAATATTGCATGACTCAAAATCAAAATATATATTTTTTTGAATAATTCAAAGGTTAACATATTTGAAATAGGCTCCTTACGATATTTTATGCCATCAAAGCATCAAGAAAATAGGTCCAATTAAAAACTATTAATTAATTTTATCAATAAAATAACTGTCGAAAAAACTTGAATTCCCAGATTTTTCTCAAAACTTCAATCATCTCAGTTAAAAATTATTTCAATATAACATAATTGAATATTATCCAACGCATGTTAGAGCACTTCTGCTCGCACTCCTGGTGTCTCTCCCCGTCTATCTTTCTCCCGACGTTATCCTTTCATTCATACGCTATTCAAATTGTAATTCTCATCAGATTTATTTTAAATTTTTCTTTCATAAAAACTCACTTTTTTCTATTTATTTTTTGCCGTACAAATAATTTGTATGATTTTCTCCGTCTGCTCTTTTTTCTTTCTTATAGTCGATCAACAAGATGTTGAACTCGATGTTAGATTCCTTGTAGCTGCCTCCACTGTATTCCTCTCCATGTCGTTCCGCATAATTAGTGAGCTTGTAGACTATATTAGCCGTAATCCTGAAATTGTAAATATAATCGATAGGGAAATTCAGAATTTTATGGTAAGAATGCACGCTTCATATTTGTACATATATATATATTTTTTTTAAGGAATGAAAATATGATTCCCATCCCTAAATCAATTTAAAGTACGCATTATAAGTGCAGCTATTTATTAGCGTGTAAATAATATTTAAAAAAGCCCATTCTAAAATAAAGACTAAATCTTGTAAACCCCTCTTAACGACGGAGATATATTTTGCTTCACCTTCTGAGTCCTGAGAAACAGATAGAAGCTCTAACCCAACTTCCGGATTTTCCGCCGAGCTCCTCTTCCAATTTGTGGTTTTGCGTCTTGATGTTTTTCAAACATATGGAGAGACCTACAGTTTATACTAAGCCGGCTCCGAACGTCTGATGGTTTTTTTATGAGGAGCCTTTATTTTATGTCCGAAATACACTCGAAGGAGTGGAGATTCCCTGCCGAGGGGCGACCGTAATTAGAACATTTAACTAAATTTTTTATTTGAATGTTGGTGGCACCGGAATGTGTACTCGAGCCTTCCGAATGTCAGTACGCAAAACTAGCCACTCAGCACAGGTACACCAGTAACCCACAAATTTTTGTTCGTACAAAAAAAATATATGTTTCAAAGTGTCCTAGGTCACTTCCAATCATTAAAAAGATTCTGGTAATATTTTTCAAAACGGAGGTTAATTCATACTGAAAAGACGAATTGACTAGAATAAGTTCGGTTCAATCTAGTTACTTAAAGGACTAGTCTTTTCTGAATGGAACTTCCATTACATTTTATCTCTGTGCACTGAGCACCCGGCGCACTGAAAGCCCACGAACTGATATCCCATTAAAAAAAAAACTGCTGAAAAGTTTTTTATTGATAAGACCTTTTACTCTCAGGCCTTTTGCGACGTTAGGGAGAACCCGTGAATAGTTTCTAAAACGCATCGACGGACTTAATCAGATCAGCTTTACCAGATAATATCCTTATTTTTTTCGAATAACCATTAGGCGATATTCGATAAGGATTAAAAAAATATCTGAATGCTTTCCGATTCTCATCTACTGACTGTAGCCAAAAAATCTGCTGAAAAGTCTTGATTTTCTTTGCCTGTAAATAAATCTTCGGCTTGGTTGCTTTTTAAAGATCGTTTTATCTTGCATCTCATTCGTATTATTATCATTTCTTATTTTATGTTTATTTTATATATATTTTTTGTGATTAAAATTATTTATATTTTTTTTCCTTTTCTTCCTCTCTCTTTACAGTACCAGTTTCCGCCACCGAGGACCCCGTACTCCACACCGTACAAACCGTTGGCCGACTCTCGCACAAGATCTCGCGTCGTGTCTATCAGAACGTATCCAGACAGATCAAACGTATGCAACAAGGAAACTTAAATGACTATTTAAGTTCGCTAATTGCCGTACTGAAATTGCATCAATACATTAATTTCATCAACTCATCGATGGGCACAAATGTCGAGCAATCGACAATTGCCGATGTAAGTGCCAACACCACAGCCGCTGCACCAGCTTCAGCCGTAGTTGCTTCAAGCTCGAACAATAGCAATCTGCCCAAAAGCAACAAGACCGCAGTAGCAATAGCGGCAGCGCCAGCGGCCGCGGAGAGCTCGCCAAAGTCAGCGTCGTCATCTTCATCGTCATCGCCAAACTCCACATCGGCGGCGGTAAGGCGTTCCAAGTCGCCGAACTCGACGTCGTCGCCAAAGGGAAACTAAAGCCATAAAGCAGAGGAAGCGGAGGAGTATAAGAGGAGAAAAATACAATAAAAATGTTTAAGAATATTTTAATTGAGTGGAGAAGTCGAAGAAAGAGTGGAAACGCAAAAATATTTTAAGAATTTTTTTTTTTTTAAATAATTTAATGCAAAAAGCCAAGAACATGCATATAAATTTTTTTTTATTTGAATGTGCAAAGGAAATTGTAGGCAAACATACATACATGCACACAGTGCCGAAGGTTTTGAAGATACATATTTATTTGAGAAAATTGCGCTTCACACATACGAAAAGCTGCATTTGTATGTATTTGATTTACAAAGCTGTAAATATGTAATGTTCATGCCTAAAATGCACTCCTAGAAACCACTTACATAGATACATACATACATACATTGATTTTCACCATTTTTTACACACACCACTGTATTTTTGCACACGCATGTATGTATAATCAAACTACTTTTAGGCGTTTAAGCTTTTAATTTAACAGAAATTAGTTATTGTATATGATAATTACATATATATACGTACATACATATATACAAATAAAGTTTAGTAGTATAGCTGCGCTAAAGATAAATACATATATATTAAATATTAAATATATAAAACATATTTACATATTGCTTAAGTAAACGCATACATACACACCTACAGACTTACACGTCTAAACATCAACAGATTTTGTAGTTTGAAGAATTTTTTTTCGAAGCAATTCCTGTAAGAATATTCATCATCAATTCATTTTAATTATGTATAACTTTATATGTTTAATTGTATATACATATGCATACATACATACATAAAATTATAACATATTATGCATTATAAAATTATTATGCTGAAATAATAAAGAAATGAAGTATAGAAGAAAGAAAAGAATTTGTGTTTTTCATTCAACTTTGAGTTTCTCGAAATGGAAATTTAAAAAAAAATGTATTCGAGCCTCTCAAAAGAGCTGGCGGAGATGAATTTGATATGAGACAAAATGTTAATTCCTTTGGATGATATGCGGAAACAGCTGTCTACAACGCTTCATAGCCCAACTGAACTGAACGACCTTTTTGCCCATTGAAGCACGCATTTTCATAATTTGTTTTCTAATGTTATTTAAACATATATAAAACTTAAAATCATATTCTAAGCAATTTATTCTGAGTGCGAAACCTAATTAGAAACGAAAATATTTTATCTGAAAAAAATTATGATATTAAGATAATATATTTACTTTTAGTTAGTGTTTGATTGCATAACCCTTCCCCTTCAACACTGCCTCTACTACTGATACTGCTTGCCATGCCGTTCCTACTTCCACAAAAAAAAACATCCATATTAGAATATTTTTTGCACTAATGACTCTTTTAACGTCATCCCAGAGGGTTGAAGTCTGGAAATATTGATTTGGATCGTTTTCGTGTTGAATTTTTCACAGGCAAATTCTTCTCAGCCCAAGGCTACAAGACTTTTTCTAGTATGACGACGTATTTCTCCTTATTTATAATTCCATTTATCCTATAGAGTGGACCAACACCGTTAAAGAAAAAATATCCCCATACCATGATTGACATTGCTGTTGTTGTAACCCTTGGCTGGGTAAAATTCCGGGTCGTTCCGGTATAAACCCAGCTGTCGCGGGAACTATTGGATTTTAGTCGTTTCTTACGGCAGGCATGCTTTACCGCGGCTAAATTCTTAACCCCTAACCCGCATGATTGATCATCCCCAGTGCTTAAATACACGTGGAACATAACGAGGATTAAATTCTTGCTTAAAGAGACGTCGAACATGCCTCCGACCATCAGGGTCAATGCGACTATTTTCCGTTTCCTAGTTCCAAACGACATACTTCGACGGGTTTAGGATCCAAAAGCATTGAGAATGGGCAAAGTCTACACGTCGTATTCTTTGGATTTTGGTCCGAAGCGGCTGCGTGGATTGAGTAGTAAATGAAGTAACAAAAATAATGCTGGTGTCCTCTTTAAGAAAATATAAAGGTAAACTCGCAAATTTTACTATTATGCTCAACAAGCACTTACAAGAAGTGAACGTTTCTAATAAGTTGTCAACAGCTGTATATTGTGCTTTGCTCCTGGAAAGAGTGTAATTTCTAAAAAAAATCGAAACATACGTTTATATACTTTTTTGAATAGTTCGGTGCTTGGTTCACAGAGAAAAATTATTCGAAATCATTTTCGAAACCAATTGATCGCACCCACAAAGTCTCATCAAGACCGATGCAGCCGTTAAGAAATAGTTTAATGGCTAAACCCAGAAGATTTTTATAAGAAGTCAGAAAACCAGTGCTTCGATTTCATCTTCAGTGAAAACCCCTGCGGATAACTAGACAAATTGTTTAATAGCCAGTAGAACCCAGAAATATTATATGAAGAAAACTAAGCTGCTGCACAGTATGGCTTCATGAGCCCTCTTTATGCACTTAAAGCACTTAAAGCCATTCTAAAATTTTATATCTGAAATATCGACCAAAATGCTAGTCTAGATGGTTAATATTGTATATCATACAGGGTTATCCTGGAGTTTACGTAAATAAACGTTTTTATGAAATCCCTTATTTATTATATAGTTCGAACCGGACATTATATCTGAAACACTTTATCATTTAAAGGGCCGTCTCGTGAAAATTTGCGAACGTCGATAACGTTGAGGTAATTTTCGACCATTTTCTGACGCATATTTGGTGGTATCTTAGCCATAACTTGTTTTTCGCGTAGCCCCACAAAGAAGTCGCCAAGATGAGTGATTAGATGGCAAGGAAATTTCTCTCGCAATAAAGCCTTGTTCTCTCGTGTTGCGTGACATGTGGCACCATCCTGTCGGAACCACATATTGCTCCAGTCGTGCTCTTCAATTGCTTGCCAGTGACAGTCTCACTATGGTCGTTTTCAAAGAAGTATGGTCCAATCACACCTCCCACCCATTTTTTGAATGAGCTAGACTCTTATATGGAGGTAAGTGTACGTCCAAGTGTAAAATATATCAAAATGTGCCGCAAGAAAATCTCAGCTCTTGAGAACGTCGAGAAAAAGACGGGTATTCCGCTACACTTTCACTTACAGTGCAATATATGAGGTGTAACGAGCAAATCGATGAAGCACAGGCTATAAGATATCCAGTCTCTTTTAGTTTCTTTAACATTTTGCCAATTGTATGAGTAGTTGGACGATTGTGTGCACCGTAATCTCTTTCTAGCTTTCGAGAGCGCCATTTGCGGTAATAAACTTAGCAAAGGTGTTCAAAGGCGTTCAAATTCTAAGCTACAGCTCTTAAATGCTGTATGGAGTGTTTCTAGTCAAGTTCTACTTTCCTGATGGTTTAGCTTGTAATAAGTATCGGTTGAGATGATTCCGATGATACCACTCCATCAACTCCTCAACTGCGAGCATAGATGTTTCCCGTTACAGTGCGCAGCCCTTCTGTGATCTTCGATGTTGTCAGAAAAGGATCTTGCTTATCATAAAGGTCGAGAGTCGTTTAAAATTTTACGTACCATCTTCTGCAAGTCCTATCAGAAACTGTACCATCACCAAACACTTTCAATAAATTTCTACATGTTTCTAGCATTTCATCCTTGTTGAAATTCGTATAAAAAAGAGTGGTATAATTGAACTTGATCAGTCGCCATGGGTATCAACTTTATTATAGTTTCTTTGCTACGTCAGTATGTACATACGAGGTGTGACAATTAAGTAATGATACTGATTCCATCAAAGTAGGACCTTGGGTAGCTATACAACGATTCCAGCGCGTTTTCAATGCATCGTAACATTCCTGGAACGCATGGATCGACTCAAAATGGGTTCCTTTGACCACCGATTTTGTTCTAGGGAACAAACGAAAATCTCAGGCTGACATATCGTGCAAATAAAGCAGTTGTTGCAACACGGCGATCCCTTTAGAGGCCAACTACTGGGACACGCTGATGGCGGTGTGGCACGGCACGTTGTCGTAATAAAGAATCCAGCTACAAGCGATGTCAGGGCGCCCCTGTTAACTCGTTTTCGCAATATTTCGAGCACTTGGCGATAGTAGACTTAATTTCTTGATTTACGGTTTGTCTTGGTGGAAGAAATTCTTTGTGGACGATTCCACTGCTATCAAAAAAGGCAATAATCATAGTTTTCACCCTCGACTTGCTCATGCGAGTTTTCACGCTTTCTTCATTCGCTGAACTATGTCAATATAATCTTATAGCTCGACAGGCATACCTTAGCGCGGAAAAATTCTTAAACCCAGTTAGGAGCTGTCGAGTGAAAGGTTTGCGAAAGTTGTTGAAAATGGAGGAAGACCTCCACATCGTTGGGAAGTTCAAGTGGAGAAGAACAGTCATATCAAGTGGTATCTAATTAGAGTTACGTGATGCAGTGCAGCGTTATGAATATACGACCAGAACTCTTTTTTAGTCTCAACCATACATAGATCTAAGAAGTCATTACATCTGGAATTCTCAGCAGGTAAACAAAATGTTGTAAGCTCTAAGCTCGCTGCTGAGTTTTCAAAATCAAGAAAAACTGATGGGTGGGCCTTTCATTTTATGTCAATAAAACACTCGAAAGGCTTGACATTCCCTGCCGAGGGAGACGGCAATCATAAAATTTAACCTAATTTTTTATTAAAATTGATGTTGTCGTACCAGGATTTGAACCCTGGCCTTCTGAATGGCAGTACGCAATGCTAACCACTCGGCGGTATTTATATGTACAATATTTTCTCGGTAATTCAGTAAAGTGTGAATCACTGAATGAGCTAATTTATACTTTGTATTGTATGTGACTGGAAATAATGATTCGGGAAATACTACAAAATCTAGGCAGACTGAATGGAATCGTAAGCAAAAACAATAGAAAAACAAGCAGGCATTAATGGTATTCATTCATTCAAGATTCAGTTCTTTGAAAAACAGAAGATACAATCTTTTACTACGTTCGAAATATCGAGTGAGTGGGATTAGGAAATGTCTGTTTTCATAACAAAAAAACAGCTGTGTAGAGTAGAAGCAAGATCCAGTTAGTGACAATGAGATACAGTTAGTTTGTAATCAATGAAAGTATCACACACACACACATATTTACTTTCTGTATTTTTATTTTTCACTTTTTATCGCATTAAGTGTGCCATCAGAGGAAATTTCCATTATTTGCACATCAATTTTTCATGAGTCATTTCTAATACATTACGACCTTTGATCCCATAAAATACGAAGAATTAATAAATATTTTCAATTAATAACCAAATTGCGGTTTTTCAAATACATACTCGTATATGTACATATGTAGGTGCCATGATTATATACATTCTCATTTCGCAAATGTTGAGTATTTATTGCGAAATTTTTCAATTGCAATTCAATCGTCAAGACCACAATTAGATTTTGTGTTTTATCACATTGTTGCGGTTTTGAAATTCGAATACTTTTATATATGTATTATACTTATTTTAAAGTTCGATAATAATTTAATGAGCCAGTATTTCACTTTTTTGTTCAATACATTCATATACATATGTACATATGTGCATATGTTATGCAGGCTAAATGTAACAGTCACTTAAGTCAACGTATCCAAATAGAAAAATTTGCTTTAAGAATATTCAAAACTTTTTGCGATCAAAATTAAAATCAATAGGAAAGATAAGAAAATCTAGGAGAAAATAAAAACAAGTAAGGAAGTCTAAGTTCTGGTGAAAACGAGTATCAGACACTAGACTTATATTTATATGAAGGGGTTACATCTAGTTAGGAGCCCTAAAAATGAGGTTTTTCAAACATCTTTCCCGAGGAAACTTTTAGATTTTTTATTTTGAGAATTTGTACACATACTATGGCACCTTTGAAGAGTAGTTAGCATTTTTTTATTTATAAA